GTCCTCACCTCTCAGCACAACGGGGTCTGCACATCTCTTCACTGTCGCCCCAATGCCATCTGGGGCACCCTTGCCATGGGATGTAGGGAATTCCATGTTGCATTCTTGAATCTCAGTTGGAGGAAGGACAGCAAAACTGTTTGCTTTGACCATTATATCTTTCAGGACATGATCCATGTCAGTCCATATGGCTGCTGCATCCTGGTGCTTGGACTGAAGTTGTGAAGAATCCTACCTTTTCATGTTTGGTGTAAAACATGCCCGTGTGAAGTGTTATCTGTAGGTTTTGTCCATAATGGCATAGTTGTATTTCTGAGCTGAATTTGCATTTCCAGGCCTCAGAAGTCAACATGCACAATAACTGTTGTTTCATTGCAACTTCTTATGTTTCTGTACTCCTCATGTTTGATTTTGAAGTAGGTGGACATGGGCGGTTGTTTCACTTCTTAATTTGTCTTGGTTGAGAACCATAAACTCTGACAGAGTACCACTATGTTTCTGAAGTTTGGTGTGAAAGTGAGCTCCATCTTCTATTTGCCTTTGAATGCTTTAATCAGAATCAGAATCAGAATCAGAATACTTTATTGATCCCTGGGGGAAATTATTTTTTGTTACAGTGCTCCATTTTAAACCAAATTTTAATCTCTTTGTAATGCATTTTTTCAAGCTATGTATCTTAATGATTCACCAGCAAGTAGCTGCCTACTACTGCTCGGTTCCTCAAAACTGATGTTTAAAGGAGTCTGTGGGTTTATGTTTACATACTGCTGGACTTGTTGATTTTTTCCCTTCAGATCACCAATGTTCTTTAATTTTTCCTCTTAAATTCCATTTCTCCATCTTTCTCTTTCCTTTCTGAGCTTTGACTGGCTGTTAATTTTCTTTCTCATTTTTTGATACTCCCTGATCATACTTCCCTTCTTCTACTAAAAAGTTAAGTTTTGCCATTCTAGCCTGAAATTGACCATTTTATACTTACTAGAAATTTTTCTGACACGTATTTATCCTTAAGTGTTATTTATATGCATATATACAGATTATGTATTAAGCAACAGATGCTATTACAATGAGACTGTAAAGCTAAATTATACTTTTGTTGTATAAACATTGCCTTGGTTTGCCTTTTAGTTAACTGGGTTAAGACTTTTATGCATGTTTTTAGCCCAATAATAAGGTTTTATCTGGGGACATGTTTTGTCCATTATTTTGAGAATCGCTCAGCTACATTTGGTTTCAAAACACTTTAAAGACAATGGATTTAGTGAAAAGTCAGAAATTATTGACATTCAATCACTAAAACTAATTTTTCAAGAATGCAAGTAAGTATCTGTTTTCTGGCATCTTAATAAAATGTTTTTAAAAAGCCAAATATTTTTACTTTACTTTTTTCAACTTTTTTTTTAAAACAGCATGGATAACGACTATAATTATATTTAATATTAAAAATATCCTTTTGATTAAACCAGTCAATTAACCATTACAGATAGATTTTTTTTTATTATTTTTAAAGGAGTTTGGTAATTATCAATACTTTTAATTTAAGGCAGCTGTGGAATAAGCCTTACTTTCTGTATTTGCAGGAAAATACTGAAAATGTCAAATATTGTTAATTACACAGGTTGACCACCAGAGGGAACAACAAGATTTCTTGTTCTTAACCAAAAATGTCAGTGTTATTATGTATCTTAATTATAATTCACGTCTCACAAAAATTTATCTTTTTTTTTTTTTAAAGAAGCTGGTTGAGTGACTATTTTCAGACAGTCCCTTAGTTGTATGACCTAGACATGCACCTCATGGGGGTTGACTTAAAATGCACTTCATGAAATGTAACAGGAATGCCTCCTTAACTGTGGTGTCTCTAGCTGTTTGTGTCCAAAACAGAGGGTAATCTTAAAGAGGTGCTTGTAATCAAGTCCCAGTCCAAAGATAACTACAGTTTTTCATCACTTCTTGTGAGCTATGTTTACTGTTCACTCAGATTTTGTTGTTATGCAAAGTACATAAAAATATCGTGGTAATTTTTAAAAACTTCAATATCCAAAGTTATTCCTATTCATGAGAAACCATCTAATAAATTCACAAAAATGTATCAGCAAGGATATCTCAACATTTTATATTTTTCAAACATTTTCAAAATAATGATTCTACAATACTTTAATTTTGGTGATAAATGGCAGACAAATATTAACAAATATTTTACTAAATAAAATATTTGTTAATATTTGTTTACTAAATAAAATATTTGTTTGGAATAATTCTTTGTTTAGTTGGGTTTGTGTATATCTGTTTGGACAAAACCAGACCAATATTTAAATTTGTATGTCAAATGCTTCAAAACTGCTTCAAAACTGATGGGAAACAGTGCCAGAGTTCAGATCTGGTGCCCACCTGTCAGTCATTAGGCGAGCTATCCCAAATATGTGACAACAGTTACCCTCTAACCCTGACAGGGGAACATGGAGGAAAGACCACTGGACTGTTTACTGTTGTGCTTGGTTATATCTGTGTGATGGCTGCACTTACAGCCACACAGTGGTAATATCACCATGTTAGTGTAGAGGCTTATAAGTAACCTTGCATTCACATTTCTTTCTTTAAATATAGGAATTTATTTACAGAACAATAAATAACTGGTTTTGGTTTAGTTAATTCACATATCCACATAACACTGCATTCTAAAATAAGTGCGCACATTTTAGTTTACACTGTTATGTATGATTAATCTTTTGTTTTCTGAGTTACCTTAGTTGCAGCTGTTCCAGTCCCTTGATTAAGGAGCCAAGAGGTTGAAAAGGGGCGGAGCGAGCTTTGAAGGAAGACTACAAATTGGTTCATACCATAATTCAGGACCATGGGGGGGAATTGGAGTTGATTATGTTTGGTTTAGTTAGGTTTTGTGTGTTTTACCCCTTCTCCTGTTTTTGTGGGCTGATCAGCCACTATTTAAGTTTCCCCTTTGTCTCATTAAGTGAAGTCAGGTTGTTTGAGTTATCAGTTGTGTTGGCAACCTTGAGTAGAGTTTTGTTAGTTTGACCTCTTTTATGGGCCCAAGATTTTGATTCTTTTTGCATGAGTTAACCAATTATGTTTTTTGGGTTAAATAAAAAAAAAAAAATTTGGACTTTAACCTGTGCCTAAGTTTCCTTCACTGCTCGGTCCATCACAAGTGGTGTCAGGAGTGGGATCAGCAGTTGAAGGCACAGGATTTTTTTTTCTCTTTTTTTCCCCTCTTCACTTATCAAGCCATGCACAGAATGGGAAGGAGTGGCAGAGGAGCAAAAGGAGATTGTCAAAACCAGCCAGTTGGAGTTGTAGAGCAAGTAGAAGGAGGAGAGGAAAATGGAGCCTCTGGAGGGGTGGATAGTACTGAGAGCCAAGGTAAGGAGCCGACAATGTCAGAACTGATTTCCATGCTTCGTTCTCATATGGGTCAGCAGGAGGCCCAGGAAGCAAGAAGAAGGGAGGAGTTTACCCGCCAGGAACAGCGCTTTAGAGCACTGCAACATCAGTTTCAGCTGTTGCAGGTAGAAGTGCAAGCTCGTACCTCCCCGGTCCCTGAGCCTCAAGTGGAGGAACCTGAACAACCAGAGGTAGAGTCCTTTGAAGAGGAGAATCCTCCCTGTGCTGGCTCCAGTAATGAGCAAATACATCCTCAATCAGGTCAGTCTCGCTTTTATGAACCCAGGCTGGAAAAATTGACAGGATGATATTGAACATTTTTTAACAACATTTGAACGCATGGCTGTAGTTTGCCGGTGGCAAAAAATGGACTGGGTTTTTCATCTGATTCCTTTACTCACTGGCAAAGCAAGAGGTGCGTATGTTCATATGGATATGGATGACTCTCTAGACTATGACAAAGTTAAAGCAGCTATCCTTCAAAAATATGACATTAATCCTGAGACACATAGACTGAGATTCCGTTCACTGGAGGTAAAACCTGATGAGAATCCAAAAGAACTATGCAAGATTGAAAGAGTTATATGAGAAGTGGGTGAAGCCAAAGGGAAAAACGGTGCATGAGGTTAGTGAAATATTAATTTTAGAACAATACTTGAGAATGCTGTCTCAAGTATTGGGGCCATCGTGGCTCAGGGGTTGGGAATCGCATCTGTAACCGAAGGTCGCCGGTTCGATTCCTGGGCTCTCTGTCCTGGTCGTTGTGTCCTTGGGCAAGACACTTTACCCTACTTGCCTACTGGTGTTGGCCAGAGGGGCCGATGGCGCGATTATGGCAGCCTTGCTTCTGTCAGTCTGCCCCAACTGTACAACTGTAGCTGCCTCCACCAGTGTATGAATGTGAGAGTGAATGAATAGTGGTCTTGTAAAACGCTTTGGGTGCCTTGAAAAGCGCTATATAAATCCAATATATTATTATTATTATTATTATTACTCTGCATGTAATCATTAGTTCTTATGAATCCTTGGGGCTTTTCCAAAGTGTGTCTTTGTGATTTGGCATTATATAAATAGAATTTGAACTGAAGGTAATTCAACAGAGGGATAAAGCATTTTAATTTCTTATTTCATAGCATAATCTCATCTAAATGTTTTTAAATAAATTGGCGGCACAGAACACCACTGTCCATCCTCGAAGCCAACAGACATGCTGGGTCTCCAACTCCAACACAGCACCCGAAGGACACAAAGGGAGGTACACAAATAAACACATAATTTTGCTGTGTGTTACACGCACAAAAGACCTAGGAGACAGCAGCCATTGGCAACAAGAGGGCTGAAGACCCAAGGCCACACATCTCGTTGACAACCATGCGCTCACCCCAGCAGAAGGAAGAGGGAGGCCATGTTCCTGCATTGTAACAGGAACATAAAGTGATAATATACCACTGAGAGAGCCAAAACCAAGTAATGGCCCCTGAGACAATATTTTTGTTATGTTTTCTGGACGTGTGAAGGCCATGAATTCACAAAATTGTTTGTTTAATGGTCTTAAATACCATATCTGTGTTTCATTTTGGGTGTGGTTTATGGCTCAGCTGGAGGATCAGGATCAGGGGACAGCGCCGAGGAAGGCTGGCTGGCACAGCTGATACCTGTCACGCTAACCACACCTTCCCCATTTCAGTACCTGCTGGGGCCTGGAGGTTCGAGCCCTGTGGTGTGAGCCGAGCTGGAGCAGAGGGCTGAAAAGCTGCACATACTGAGCTAAAAAATAAATACAAATCACTGCCATCCAAACTGCCGAGCACCAACTCCTCCTTTTTACACACACTTGCAAACAGCTTACTGAGAAACCAGAAACAGACTGTTCACCTTCAAATAAAAAGTTGGGCCTTTTCAGTTGCTTTTTATTTATTTGTTTTGTTTCTATGACTTTTCTACCTCAACTCACAAGTCGGGAAAACTCACAAATCTTTTTCATGAACAGTTGGTTGTTCTAGACTATTGGAATAAATGGATTTATGATTCTCCTGCGATGCGATATAATGCTAATACGGTTCTAGTCCTGGCTGGGACATTTCTGCATGGAGTTTGTATTCTCTTTGTGTGAACTTCCTACAGGCAGTCAGGTTTCTTCCCAGAGATATGCATGCTAGGTAAATGGTACTAAAAAGGAGGACAATTTTGCAACTATTTAATTATATAATTGGCAATAGGCCAGTAGCATAATTGGGTATAAAAAGAGCATCTTGGAGTTTCAGAGAAGTAACGATGGGCAGAAGTTCACCAGCGTGGCTTTGTAGTAGAAGAGTCCAGGTGCTGAGCTAGGCTGCCTGCAGTCCAGACCTTTCATCAACTGACAACATTTGGAGCATCATGAAACCAAAAATGGGACAATGAGAAGCCAGAATTTGATTTTTTTTTTCTGTTATTTTGTGAATAAAAGATTGATTTATAAGATTCTAAAATCATTGCTACTCATCTCAACTCTTTTGGAACTGTGGAGAGTTAGACAATATCTGTGCTGTGCATGCTTTATATATTCACCTCCACCACAACCACCTCTTATTTATAAATCAAGTACTGGATTTTAAAACAGTGAGTATGATTCTGAGACTAATGACTTTACATACAGTAGTGTCACAAGTATTATGTTGTTCAGCAATTCTTTGCAATAAAGTATTTCATAAATTGTATTGTATAAGATAAAAGAAATGCTTAATGCTGATGGAGGAGCTGGAGGAAAACACAGACATGAAGAGGGAATGTCTTGACACACGCAGTGGATTGTGGACTATGCTTGGCAGCTGGGTGAAGATGGATTCGTTTTCACACGCTCATGGATTTCACAGTAACTTCATCTCTCGACATCCCAGCTTCACCCAGCCACACTGCTGTGGACCCTCAATGGCACTGAAAGAAAAAAAAATCCTCCTAACAACATTGTAGTTTCCATACATTTGATCATTTTATTGGAATTTGGCAAAGTGATGGAGTGACTTTTCTATTATAGTGGCACATACTTTGCAATAAAGCACACAGAAAAGTTGTAGTTGGACAAAAATAAAACTTGCCTCTAGTAATAACATTTTTAGGATTAGGGTGTGCCCCTGCTATGTGCCTATTGTGGGGAGGGAGCCTGTGACCACTAGGAGTATTAGGAGGTGGTCAGAGGAGGTCTTAGCAGAACAGCAGAGCTGTTTTGAGGTTGCAGACTGGGAGACACTCTGTGAACCTCACCTTAAGGACATTAATGGGCTTACTGAGTGTATCACTGAGTACATAACCTTCTACATCGACTTCATTTTCCTAGCTTGGACTGTCCATTGTTACCCAAATAACAAGCCGTGGGTGACAGAGGACATCAAATCACTCCTGAATGGCAGGAATGGGGCCTTCAGAGTGAGAAACAAAGAGGAGGTAGCCTTACCTGTAGTCAGCCTGCAATCCACAGCCACACCACTCTCTCTCCACATTGCACCATAGCCTCCTGTGAAAGTCCTGACACTCCTTCGCCACCTTTTACTTTCATTCATTAACAAGTTCAGAGACAAATGAGAAGATTCCACTCAGGCAAGTCTGCTGGAACAAAAGAGGTGAGTCCCCGTGTCCTTAAGGCCTTTGCCCCCAGCTTGTGGAGTCTTTCATAAACTGTTCATGATGAATCTGAGTCATTCCTGACACCACGTCCCAGTGGCCCCAGGATTACAGACCTTTGGTACTGGATGTGGTTGTGGTTGTGGGTTGTGGTTAACTGCTTCATCAAGTGGTGTGAGCGGAATCATCTGCAGCTCGACATGACAAAGATCAAAGAATTGATTGTGGACCCCTTTTTCAATCCAAGAGGTTGATGTGGAGGACTATAAATAGCTTGAGTACACGCTGAGAATAAACTAGGCTACCTCTATTTTAGAATAGAATAGAATAGAATAGCCTTTAGTGTCACTGTACATGTACAACAAAATTGTGTTTTTTTTTTTATTTTTTGCTTCTTCTTTTTTTTTTTAGAATAGAATAATTTTTTTGAGATGGTTGAGGTCTTTTAACATCTTTTGGACAATGGTCAGGATTTTCTCTGAGTCTCTTGTGGCCAGTTCCATTCTGTATGCCGCTGCATGCTTGGGCAGCAGGTCGAGGGTCGCAGATGCCAACAGACTCAATAAACTGATCCGCAGGGCCAGTAACGTTGTGGGGATAGAGTTGGACACCGTTAATATGGTCTCAGAGGGGATGTTGTCCAAGATAAAGACAATGGTGGAGAATACCTCTCACCCACTCCATGACCTGCTGGCCAGTCACAGGAGCATGTTCAGTGACACACTGAGTGGCACCACTGAACGATCTCCACTAGTTTCCCTGTTCAACAGCTCTATCGTACAGTACACACTGCAATAGTTACACCCTTTTGCACGTCCTCTAAAGTGAAAATAACAAGTAGCAAAGTTGTACAGTTTGCAGTAAAATGTCAGTCATATATATTCTGTATTATTGTAATTGAGCTATTTGTATATATTAGAGCTATTTCTTATATTTTGTAACTTATATATGGAACTTATACTCAATTCAGTTAAATTTTATACAGTGTCAACAACAACAGTCGCCTCAAGGCGCTTTATATTGTACCTTTTTTTACTTTTTTATATGTTGTACATATATTGGATATATATTCTATTATTTAATTTACTTCAGTCTGTTACCGTTCTTATTGTCTTAGAGGAACTGTAGTCACATAATTTCCTTAGAGATTAATAAAGTATTGATTCTCATTTAAAGCCGGTCGGAGCGGGCACGCTCCGTTTTGCATAACTATTTTTAAATCCCGGTAGCACTGCAACCACGTAAGCTAGCGCAATAAGTTTTTTTGCATATGAAACCGGAGGAGTTGTACTTACATCTTATGCCATCAGCTTGTCCTGGGTCAAAATTTGCATAAAAATTTGCCGATCCGATCAGCTGTTTGTAACACTTCCTACGTCCATCAGCGCGAACTATCGCATGTCCGCCAGGATCTGCCCGAATCCGGAAGTGACGTCATTTTGCGGAAATGTAGTTTTTTACCATCAGGCCTTATGAGCCTATACTTGTGTTTTTAAAAGTTATGTTTGACTATATGACTTTCTGTGTCATGTCTGGGATGCTGGAAATAGTTTATTTTGATGCATATGCTGGTTTTTTTTTGCAAATTTGCACTATAATATTTATTTTCGTTTTTCCTGCAGTACATAAAAATTGGTGTATTTCAAAAATAAAACTATTAAGACACTAAAAATAAATTTCCTGTGGTGGGAAACTATTTTATGCAACTTTGTATTTACAGTTTTGAGGGATAAGCCTCTTAAATTTCTCTAACTAGAAATATATGTTTAAAAAAAACAAAAAAACAAACAAAAACCGATTTTCAATGTTTTTGTAGTTTATTGCACTTTTGTGCAATTTATGTAATTAATATGCACTTAATGCATACATATTATTAAAATATGGGCAATAATGGTTGTATTGATGTTTATCAACTTGAAAACTTCCCAAAAATGGCACTAGAGCATGTAAAATATATAGCTCTGGTGGACTTGGATGAAATTTCCCCGTGTGGGACTAATAAAGGTATCTTA